GGCTCTTGATTTCTGTCCATCACGGCAGCCCTGGTAGGGTTTGCATGGGTCATAACGGTGGGAGCATGTGGTGAAGGTTCCTCACAGCATGATCAGCAGAAAAGCAGAGGACCAGAACTAAGAGCCAGGCTATAACCTTCAAAGGCCCACCCCTAGTGACCTACTTCCTTCAGCTTGACCCCATCTCTTCAAGATTCCACAGCCTCTCAAAATAGTGCCACCAGCTAGGAAACAAGTGTGCAAAGTACAAGCCCCTGAGAAACATTCTTCATTCAAACTGTAACAGAAGCCTGCTACTCAAACAGGTCATCCACCATCTTCTACATAAGCAGTGATTTGTGCTCACTGTAAAGGATGGTATAGTTGTCTGTGTTCTAAAAATAAACGATTTCGCAGTCCTGATGTTCATAAAAGCCTAGGGTTGTTTCATGCACTGCTTAGGGTGGGCTCCGTGCTATAGTTGTCTGTGTTCTAAAAATAAATGATTTCGCAGTCCTGATGTTCTTGTTCATAAAAGCCTAGGGTTGTTTCATGCACTGCTTAGGGTGGGCTCCGTGTGACAACAGACAGCCAGGTACATTGGCTTCGGACAGCAGAAGCCCACTACATACAATAGGTTGACTAGCTGGCTTTTCTGACAACCTATTTTTAGGTGCTTTACCTGGCTCTGTTTTCCGTGCATCATGGACTCTTCTTCAGCAGCAACAGGGAAAGACAGAGAACAGAGGGCCACACATTAGAGTTTTATGAGCCAAATCCACAATGGGACATGACTTTGACCCACATTCCACTGGTCACAATTCCACCAGGAATAATCTGACCTGCCGGGGGGCATGGGACATGAATTCTAGCTGTATGCCCGAGAGGACCAGGAGGTGATCTGGTAAATGAACGTCTAGCTTCTGCTTCATTTTTCAAGCTGTTGTCTGCATCTAATACTGCTTCCTCAGCTCAGAACCAAATGTGAAGTTTTCTTTCACAGTTAAGTATAAACAAGGTTGAACCGTAGATCGGAA